CGCGCACGCCCTGCTCTGCCCGCGCAACGCCCTGCTGGCCGCACGCTGCCCTGCAGCGCGCGCGCCACCCTAGCAGCCCGCTCGTCACCCTTTGCGGCCCACGCGCTGCCCCTTGCCTGCCTGCGCGCCCTCCCCTGCCTACGCGACGCCCTACTTGCAGCGCGCCGCCCTGATCTGACCGTGTGCCGCCCCGCCCTACCCTACGCGCCTAGTGCCTGCTCGCCGCCCTCCCTTCCCTACGTACTGCCCTGCTGGTCACACGCCTCCTTGCTTTGCCCGCTATGACTTCTCTTCGTGGTAGCGGTGGGAGTGGTGGCGACGGTGGTGGCAACAGTGGGAGTGGTGGCGGCGGCCGTAGTGGCAGTCGCGGTGGAGCTGTTCAGTGGGGAGTTTCTGGCGGTGGCCAGATGCAGCTGTGGCGGCTTCCACGCGTGACCCTTACGTCCCAGCAGCTCCGTGAGTGGTACGCTCAGCGTTGTGCGTCTCGGAGTCCTACTCGCTGCCCGTACGTCATTCGCACAGGTGTACGGGCAGGTCAGACTTGCTGGACACCTGGCCGCACACAGTCCTACTGCTTCGCCTGTCTAAGTGACTCCTGGCGCGCAGTGTTTGGCGACGAGGCTGAGCTCCCCCGCTGGCTAGAGTTGCTTCGGGACAAATTGGATATATTTGCTCTAGACTATGACGCTATCCTTACTGCCATGTATGCTTTGACTGCTGGTACTGAGGGTGACTGTTACCTGTGTGTGCCGCCCGACCCTGGTATAGAGGCTGCTGCTCTAGGTGCTAGTGAGTCTGCTCTCTCTGGTACTGCGCCTACTGAGGCCTTGCACACCTTCACGCTTGACTCAAGTGCTTCTCGTTGCTTCTTTCGCGACAGTACCACAGTCACACCACTCCCTAGACCCGTTGCAGTCTCACAGGCTGACCCCTCTGGGGGACCAGTTCTTGCACGTTCCTCCGTTGTTCTCCCGTGTCTGACGGTTCTGTCCGACTCACTGTCAGGTCTCCACCTCCCCTCGTTCTCGAAAAACTTGGTGAGTAATGCGGTCCTTCAGGATGCAAGGGTTGATACTTTTACCCCTGGAGGATAGCGTGTGGCGATCTGCACGTGCTCCCGGACTAGCCGTCACCTGGCCACGTCCATCCGTCGGCCTGGGTCGAGTCTGTACACAATGACTAATGCGCCTCCTCAGGTTGCTGCATCTGCTCAGGTGTCTGCGTCAGGTCAAGTAGCCGCCTCGTGCTCATGTCGCCTCCTGTCGCACCAGACTCTCCTCTGGCACCACCGCCTTGGTCACCGCTCCCTGCCACGCCTTCGTGGTTTGCACTCCCGCCTTCTTGTCTCTGGTCTTCCCAGGTCTCTGCCTTCCCTCCCACCCTCGCCTGCCCTGCCCTGCATTCCTTGCGTCGAGGGGCGGCAGCGCGCCGCTCCTCACTCCTCCTCGTTTCCCCCGACGACTGCTCCCCTGCAGACTCTCCACATGGACGTGTGGGGCCCGGCTCGCGTCACTAGATAGGGCCGCGAGCGGTACTACCTGCTGGTTGTTGATGACTACTCGCGTTACACCACGGTCTTCCCCTTGCGCAGCAAGGGGGAGGTCCCTGGTTTCTTGATCCCTTGGATCCGCTTTGTTTGTCTCCAACTCCGAGAGCGGTTCCGCACGGAGTTTCCCGTCCTGCGTCTGCACTCTGACAGAGGTGGTGAGTTCTCCTCCGACCTCTTGCGGGACTTTTGTCGTGGGAAGGGAATCCTCCAATCGTTCATGCTTCCGGCATCCCCGCAGCAGAACGGGGTTGCTGAGCACCACATTGGCTTAGTCATGGAAGTCGCTCGTACCTCCATGATCCATGTGGCTGCTCCCCATTTTCTGTGGCCGTTTGCGGTCCGCTACGCGGCGCATCAGCAGCTCAACCTCTGGCCCCGTGTCTCCTTGCCGGAGACCTCGCCTACACTGCTTTGGACGGGGGAGGTTGGCGATGCGTCGGTGTTCCGGGTCTGGGGCTCTCGTGCCTTTGTACCCGATACCTCCGCGGACAAGCTCTCCTCCCGCACCATTCCCTGTGTCTTCCTTGGCTTCCCTCCTGACGCGCCTGGCTGGCAGTTTTACCACCCCACCTAGCGCCGTATCCTGCCCTCTCAGGACGTCACGTTTGACGAGTCGGTTCCCTTCTACCGTCTCTTCCCCTACCGCTCTGCCCCTCTCCCCCCTCCGCCGCTCTTCCTCGCTCCAGGTCCCCCTCCGGTAGACCCCCTCCCCCCTCAGGGTCCTGCTCCTTCAGGTGTCTCTCAGGTAAACCCACCTCCCGTAGCTGAGCCTGTCGAGGTCAGTGGTGACTCCGGTGTTGCTGGGGGTGGTGCTGCTCGGGGTACTGCGTCTGGGGGTGCTGAGCCTAAGCGTGCGGAGCCTGGGAGTGCTAAGCCTGAGCGTGCGGAGCCTGGGAGTGCTGAGCCTGAGCATGCGGAGCCTGGGGGTGCTGAGCCTGTGCGTGTAGAGCTTGAGGGTGCTGCGCCTTGGGGTGCTGCGTCTGGGGGTGCTGAGCCTGGGGGTGCTGCGTCTGCTGGTAGTCCTCCGCGTACCTCGCCGCAGCGGTCTTGCCAGGGTGAGCCTCTCTCGCCCTTGCAGCTGCGCGAGTGGTTTGCTCGGCGCACCCGCCTTCAGAGTCCCGCTACTGGAGCTGGAGGCACAGGAGCTGGAGGCACTGGAGCTGGAGGCACTGGCGCTGGAGGCGCTGGAGCTGGAGGTGCTGGAGCTGCAGACGCTTTGCTGCCACCGTTCTACATCCTCGTGTACGTCGACGACTTGGTTTTTGCCACTGCTGACACTGAGGCACTGGCCCTTGTGAAGTCCGAGTTGCAGAAGAGACACACGTGCACAGACTTGGGTGAGCTGCGTAGCTATCTTGGCTTGCAGATTACCCGGGACAGAGCACGCCGCACCATTACCCTGACTCAGTCACACATGATGCAGCAGGTCCTTCAGCGCTTCGGCTTCCATTTCTCCTCACCACAGTCCACTCCTCTGCCTACCGGTCACTCACTCTCAGCTCCACCTTCAGACGAGTCCGTAGAGCCGAGTGGCCCGTATCCAAAGCTTGTGGGCTGCCTCATGTACCTGATGACCTGCACTCGACCTGACCTTGCGTACCCTCTTAGCATCCTGGCTCGCTACGTTGCATCTGGGAGACACAGGCGAGAGCACTGGGAGGCTGCTAAGAGGGTGCTGCGCTACTTGTGCAATACATCAGGCATGGGGCTGGTGCTTGGAGGACAGGGTCGAGTTGTCCTCACTGGACACTCAGACGCCTCTTGGGTTGACGACCTAGCTACGCAGCGGTCGTCGCAGGGTTACACCTTCAGCCTTGGTTCCGGCTCTGTTTCTTGGCGGTCTACCCGCTCTTCTTCTGTTCTCAGCTCCAGTTGTGAGGCTGAGATCTACGCAAGAGCCATGGCTGCACAGGAGTTACGCTGGCTCACCTACCTGCTGACTGACTTGGGAGAGCGGCCTAGTTCTCCTCCAGTTCTGTACGTAGACAACAAGGCTGCTATTGCCTTGTGTCAGGAGCACAGACTGGAGCATAGAACGAAGCACATCGCTCTACGCTACTTCCTGGCTCGAGAGTTGCAGCAGCGTGGCCAGCTTCGTCTTGCTTACGTGGCCACCCAGGCCAATACAGCTGTTATCTTCACGAAGGCACTTCCGCCTGGTGATCAGTGTACTGCTTTAGGCCTTGTGCCTACGTTTGTACTGTGATCTATATATATACCTGCATGCTTTCACTTGCTAGGTTGTGATCACTGTACTGTTTGCTTTGTTTTATATAACTCTGCATGTGAACTGGCCTTGTGGCCATTTGCTTACGCTCGGAGTGTGTGGTGACGTCGTGATCCACCCTGAGCTTGCTTTACTTTTTCTGTGATTGCTTGTACTCCCCCACCTTACCTTTCGTGGTGTGTCAGAACATTGTGCTGTGTAGGCTGTAGTGGGGTAGCCAATATGGGGTACAACCCAATTAGGGTTAGTACTTGTACCAACTTTCTCATCAATGCATTCATTCCTTCTGCTAGATTATGACATCACTCGTGTAGAGGAGTTGCTTCTTGAGGGGGGTGGGGGGGAGGGTGGAAACGGTGTAAGATTTGTTTTGTCATTCCTTACTGCGCTGCTCAATATCGCGCACGAAGTCGACCGTTTTTTCGCCCGTTACTTCTTACTGAGATTTCGTCGCATTCGCGCGCTACCGTACATTTGCCAAACCATGCATCGCTGGCCTGGGCGAGTCGGCCTACACTTCGGGACTAGCCCGAACCTTGTGGCAACAGCGCACTAGCTAGGTCGCACGTACCGCGTTACTGTTTGCACGTTTCCCTCTCATGTTTTAGGTCATACTTGTACTCATTTGGCAACTTAGTGCAATCCTCGCACCCGTAACACTCCGACAATATAGACCATTCTTGATTTTCAGGCCACGAAATGTACCAGACCTGAAGCCTCAAGCACCAAGCTTCGCCTGCTACATCCAGCGTCAAATACCTGGGTGACCCAAAACCAATCGACAGCCCCGAAGTGATAGGCCTGAGATTTTGCCGAGATTGCAAGGCAAGCAAGCAGACCAAGGAGAATACTGCCCCCATCTTGCGGACCGGTCCGTTAACCATGGTGTATTGTACAAGCAATCGCCTTGCGTCCAAGCAGGTTCTCGGAGATGAGTTGCTTGCCAACCAAACACGTCTCTGCATGATTCCTTGGGCAATAAAGAGCGTCGAAGTTTCCCGGGTCCGACTACGTGGTCGCCGGACCGAACGAGGCCGCTCCACCAGCGGTGGTGGAATCTAGGACCCCGTTCAGTTGGCATTTTTTATTACATTATGATTTTGGAACGACTTTTTGTGATCGTCAACCCCTCACGACAGCACCAGCGCCATTCGCGTAATATCATAGACATATTCGTAGTAGTAGTATCAGCCTGCTCGCAACGAAGCACACTGTGTGCTCTGGATGATGGGGATCGACCATGTGGTGGTGGATGTGTTGGAGGCGCCGGAGGCTACTGCCGACGGACAGGATTGCCACTCAGGTACTCTACTCGCTTGCATTTCAAGAGTCGTGAATTGACGCTCTCCTCCCCGTTAGCAGTGCTAACGATCTATGCGCTACTAGTAGTAAGTTAGCGCGATGTCCCTGTAAGCAAGGTTCCTCCTGAAGCACATTCTATCTTAGCGCATTCCTTCTTTCAACCAAGTTGGTTCGTCCTAGTACTGGCCTCATCGGACACCGTCGCTATCAAAATACGTCCTTTCTATCACCGAATCCCCCCCGGCGGGATAATTCGTTGCACGGTGCCTCATCGGCCAACCACCCCCTTGCTCCCACGCATTTCTGCTCCTCCCCGCAGCGTCGTCGGACGATTGGCGGCGCGCGTTGGCGCGGGTGGTGCCGGCGGTGGTGGTGCTGCGCGTGACGGCTGTGCGCGACTTTGACACCGAGGTTACCAACTCCTCGCACGCCACTGGCTTCGTTGTCGACCGCCGCCGCGGCATCATCCTCACCAACCGCCACTTCGTCAAACCCGGTACGGTCCGCTCCGCGCGCCTCTTCCTCCCTCTCTTGCATCTTGCTCGCTGCTGCCTCGCTCGCGAATCTCCTGCGCTTCTCGCCTCACCACCCGCACCGCTATCTTACTCCCCCTCTTCCCGCGTCTCCAAGTCCAAACAACCCCGCGTGCCGCCACGCGCGTCTGCCAGGCCCAGTGGTGGCGGAGGCGATGTTTGTGAACCGCGAGGAGGTGCCCGTGCACGCGGTGTACCGCGAACCCGTGCACGACTTCGGCTTTTTTCACTTCGACCCCGCCGCCGTGCGCTTCCTCGATTACCACGCCGTCCTGCTCGCGCCCGAAGCCGCCGCCGTGGGGCTCGAGATCCGCGTTGTGGGTAACGACAGCGGCGAGAAGGTGTCCATTCTCGCCGGGACCATCGCGCGCTTGGACCGCGACGCGCCCGTGTACGGCGCGCTCGCGTATAACGACTTTAATATGTTCTACCTGCAAGCCGCGTCGGGGAAAAAGGGCGGGTCGAGCGGGTCGCCCGTGATCGACTCGCGCGGGCGCGCAGTGGCGCTGAATGCGGGCAGCAAGTCTTTGAGCGCGAGCGCGTTTTACCTCCCGCTCAACCGCGTGGTGCGCGCGCTGAGCGCCGTGCAGGCGTGCTTCAAGGAGAAGGAGGGCGGCGGGTTCGTCGCGCACAGGTGGTGCCCGCCCGCCATCACTCGCGGCACCCTGCAGGTGCGCGCGCAGGAGGGACGGGGAGGGGAAGGAGAGGGACGGGGCAATGATAGGTAGAATGCGTTTGTGCTGCTGCGTCAGAGACGTTAACAGCACTGGGACACTGCTTATCCAACTGTGGCCCCTCCCTCTTCGCCTTCACTCTCCCCTGCTCCCTCTACCCCCTCATCTTCTTCCCCTTCCCCCTCCCCTCCCCACCTCCCCAACGCCTCGCGGGCAGGTGACGTTCCGCCACAAGGGGTTTGAGGAGACGCGCCGGCTGGGGCTGCGCGACAAGACGGAGGCGGAGGTGAGGCGTTAGGCGGGTGCGGCAGAGACAGGGCTGCTCGTCGTGCACTCTCTCGTGCCCGGCGGCCCCGCAGATGGCACACTGGAGGTCGGGGACGTCTTCGTGCGCGTCAACGGCAAGGTGCTTGCGCCCAGCCCGCCCACCTGCCACCTTCCACCTTCCCACCCCATGGCGGCCAGCTGTGCTTAGTCCCTCTCGTCCCTCTCTCCCCTTTCTACCACCACCGCTCAACCTCTCCCCTCTCCGCGCATCATGCCCTCCCCTCCACGCCCTCCTCCACGCCCTCCTCGCCACTGCGCAGGTGCTCACGCAGTTCCTAGCATTGGAGACCATTCTGGACGACACAGTGGGCAGCACCGTGACGCTGGACGCGGAGCGCGGAGGCACGCCACTCTCCCTCACTCTCTCCGTGAACGACCTGCACGCCATCACGCCCCACCGCTTCCTTGAGCTCTCAGGCGGCGTGCTGCACGTGCTCTCCTACCAGCAGGCGCGCAACTTCCGCTTCCCCTGCGGCCTCGTCTACGTCACAGAGCCTGGCTACATGCTGTCGCGCGCGGGCGTGCTGCATTACGAGATCATTCAGAAGCTTAACCAGGACGTGCCGGATTTAGACGCCTTCATTCGCGTGTTTGTGCGCCTGCAGGCGGGGGCACGTGTGCCGATACAGTATGTGACGGTGGACGAGAGGCACCAGCCGAAGCAGGTGCTACTGCTGGTGGATCGCCATCTGTGGCACGCGCCCCCCCCAGATGTACTGCCGGGATGACTCTACTGGCCTTTGGTGCATTGCCCCCACGCTCCCCCCTCCGCCTCATGCCGCAGCTGCTGTTGTCGATGGTGCTGCTGCTGCTGCCGCCGATGATGGTGTTGCTCTTAGTGATGAGAAGGGAGAGGAGGAGGGTTGGTTGATAAAGGGAGGTGAGAACAGAGTGGAGATAGAGAGGGGGGAGAAAAGGGATGGAGGAGGAGGAGGAGGAGGAGGAGGAAGAGGAGGAGGAGGGAGGAGGAGGAGGAGGAGGAGGAGGAGGAGGAGGAGGAGGAGGAGGAGGAGGAGGAGGAGGAGGAGGAGGAGGAGGAGGAGGAGGAGGAGGAGGGCGAAGAGGAAGGAAGCAAGGCAGAGGGGGCAACAGTTGCTGATGGTGCAGATGGATCAGAGGCGTCAACCAAGGCAGCTCGCACGAGTTCATTTGTGGAGAGCGTACTGGAGCCTGCGCTTGTCATGATGGAGGTGGGTGGAGCAGCGTCCTCGTCTCTTTCCCCTTTCTTATCACTTCTCTGCCCACCTCTGCTGTGACACTCTGCTGTCAGGCCCTGCCTCACTTTACCTCTCCTCAACGCTTTCCATCCCCCCCTCTTCCCTCATCTCTCCCCTCCGTATTCCTCCCCTCCCAACACCCCGTCCCCCTCTCCTTCCTCCCCATCCATCCTCGCCAGTCTTCATTCCTGCCTGCCAGGTGCACGTGCCCTTATCAGTAATGCTGGACAGGGCGCACACGCATCTCATCACCTCTTTCCTCCCATCACCATCCATGCAGCCCCGTCCCTCGTCATTTCTCTCCTCTCCACCACCCCTCCCTGCCCCGCTTCTGCAGGTGCACGTGCCATTGGCAGGGGAAGCACTTCTACAGCACTGCAATTGTGGTGCACCACACGCCACACCTGGGGCTCATTGCCGTGGATCGCAACACCGTAGCCGCCTCCGTCGCAGACATCATGATCTCCTTCTGCGCCTACCCCGTTGAGGTCTCCGCCCAGGTCAGTCACCCACCGCTCGCTCACCCTCTCCCTGCGCGTCTCTCTCCCCCTCTCTCGCACCTTCTCTCAACCACACCCTCACATAGCGCCCTCTCCTTCTCTGTGTTCCGCGTAGAGGTTCCCGGGGAGGTGAGTGCGTGCAACATGACTGCGTTGCATCTGCCCTGCAATTGCCGGGGTGCCTACACTTCCAAAGCACCTGCCTCACCTGTGATCTGCGCCCTAGTCCTACCCCTCCCCATCCCACCCAACCATTCCCAACGCCCCACCCCCCACCCGTCCCCTCGCCGTTGCTCCCAGGTGGTGTTCCTGCACCCCATGCACAACATTGCCTTTGTGGCCTACGACCCGGCAGCGCTGGGCGCAGCAGCAGCGGCGGCTGTACAGCCCGCCGCACTCAAGCCCACCCCTGCGCTGCGCCGGGGGGGCCGTGTGCACCTCGTGGCACTCAGTGGGGAGAACCAGGCTGTCATGTCGCGCAAGTCAGTTGTCACCAACCCCACCGCCACGCTCACTGTCGGCACGTCGGACTGCCCGCGATACTGTGCCGTCAACATGGATGTCGTGGAGCTTGACACGGGTGGGTGCAGTGCGGTGCAGTGCGCCCTTTGAGGCTGATGGTTGGTGTGTCCTGTCGCAAGGTGCTGTTGAGAACTCTTAAAAGCACCCTCCAGCGCCCCACACGCATGCACGCATGCTGGCACAAGCTGGCACGTACGCCAGCAGAAATTCCTCTCCACACTGCACTTGGCCCCCTGCCTCTTACCACGTGCCTATCCCTCACAGTCTTCGGCCGGGCCTTCCCAGGCGTGCTGGCAGACGAATCAGGCGCTGTGAGAGCGCTCTGGAGCTCCTTCTCCTCCACCGTGTGTCACTGCCCCCCAACCATTTCCCATGACCATCCTCCCTCCTCTCCCACTTCTTCTCCTTGCTCCTCTCCACTTTGATGCATTGCACTCTCTGCCTCTCCCCTCTCTGCGTTCCATTTTCATGCCCTTACATTGAAGCTTTCCCCCCCTCCTTGAAAACCTTCTCCTCCCACTCTAGCCTTTCAAAAAGAGAAGTCCTGTCCTGGATTGCCCCCTCCCCACGCGCCCGTCCAGCGATTGGATGGCGAAACTACGGAATTTACACGTGGTGTGCCCATCGCCTTCATCTCCTCCCTCCTCAACCGCATCCTCCAAGCACCCCCCTCCGCGCCCCTCCGGCCCCACCCGCCCACCACTCCCACCCTCCCTGCCGTGCCGCACGTCGAAAGCAACGGGCATGCAAAAGAAGCAGGCGAGGGGAGAAGGAAGGCAGGGGCGGAGGAGGTGGGAGACGGGGGGGGGCGAGCGTGAGCAGCAGCAGGACGGGGCTGACAAGTGCCTGTTGGTGAACGGGCAGCTGTGGGAGATGCCGCAGGTGCGAGTGCTAGAGGCGAAGCTGGTCCCCATGCTGCTCTCCAAAGCCAGGAGCTATGGCCTCTCAGACCGCTGGGTGCATGTGCTGGCTCGTGCTGACCCCGTGCGGCGCCAGGTGCTGCGTGTGAAGGGGACGCTAGCAGGGTCCGCTGTGGCAGGCGCGCTGCAGCAGGATGATATGCTGCTCGCTGTGGATGGCCGCCCCGTCACGTGCTTTGCTGATGTGGAAGCGGCCTGCTGTGAGCTGGATACAGGCGCAGGTGAGTCAGCAAGGCTGATGGAGGGAGAGGAGAGGAGCGAGGGGAGAGAGGGTGCCGGGGCAGCAGCAGCAGCAGCAGCAGCAGGTGGAGGAGGTACGAATGGGCATGCGAGAGAGACGATGGGGAGAGTGCAAACTGGTGCGACAGAAGCAGGAGCAGACACGACTGTACTGAACGGTGCAGCGGAGGTAGAGGCACCAGGGAAGGCAGACATGAGGAAGGTTGCAAGGGTAGTGGCAGAAGGCAGTTGCAGCAGCAGCAGCAGCAGCAGTAGCAGCAGCAGGGGCAGCGGCACGCGTGTGTTTGAGAGTGACGATACTGCGGCAAGGCAGGGAGCAGCAGGTGCAGGTGGGCACGGACATGCGGCACGGCTTTGGCACAACCTATGATGGATTATACGCTTTGGACCTTAAGTGTTTAGCGTTTGTACGCTAGCGTGTACAGGCTAAACGCGAAACGCTAGCAAAAACGCTGTACGCAACCCAATCTTTTTTCTGGGCAGCCCGCCTACCCAATTTTTTTTCCGAATAGCTCAAAAGCCGCGGAATTGCACGACGAGCAATTATGTGAACTCAGATTGCACGTCAAGTGTCTATCCTGGCTGGAAATTGGATTCGTGACCTCAAGTCGCGTTTATCACCTTCACATTTTGCACGTTCAGTATTGCATGGTCAAGTACGTTGAGTACTTCAGTACGTTGAGTCATGCAAGCACGTTGCCACAATTCTATCTCTCCGCTTCACCGCATTCAAACACACATCATATATCCAGTCCAACCACTCGTGTCCTCATCCCCGCCACCCAGCATGCTATTAAGCCACTCGTCAAAATGTCCATCTCATTCAGTTTTCACCTCCCGCTAGCTAGTTAGGACGCTCCTACGACTATGTCCACCTCTACACCTCCCATGTCGCCTTCCGTCCAGACTGAGGAGAGTGCAAGGGATCCTCCGACAGCGTCACGGGAATACCTTCCCGATGTAGAACACCCAGTGTTTAAGCACTTCAAGCTCATCAAGCAGGAGGAGGGCAAGGCACAGCAGTACGAGTGCAATAACTGCCCCCTTGTCTTCTCTGGTGCCGCCATTTGTTGCGCTCAACACCTAACGTCATGGAAGAACATGAAGCGCCGGGAGGTGACACTTTGCAAGAACGCCCCGGCTGATGTTCGCCTCGCGATGAAGTCCAAGTACGAGAAGCAGGCCGCAGATGCTGAGGAGAGGCAGGGATCGACTGAGGCTGCGATTGCCTCGGTGAAACCAGGTGGAAAGCACTCCCGCATAACCGACTATCTCGACGGCGACGCTGCAGCGGCAAAACGTGAAGCACATCAGTCGCTTGCGCTGATGTCTGCGGGATGTCACATCTTGGAGCAGATCGTCGACCATCCTCTCTTCATCAATGCCATCAAAGACGTCTCCCACGCCAGCTTCGGCTATGTTCCACCAGGCCGGAAGTACATCGGCGGTAGCGGTTTGCAAACATGCCGCCGTGGCATCGAAAGCGGGTTGGTGGGCATCAAAGCAAGCTGGAAAAAGGTTGGAGTAACCGTCGTGTTCGACATGATGACGGACAGAAACGGGAGGCCGCAGGTGAATGTCTTCCTCGTTAACGACGCGGGCGTAGTGATGCATGTGTGCGTAGAATGCAACATGGAGAAGAAGATAGGGGGTATATTGCGGGGTTACTAAAGCCCGTGGTGGAGGAGGTGGGGGCAGAGAACATCGTCGCTTTTTGTATGGACGGGGGCTCCAACTACTCGGTTGCGTGCCAGTAGTTGATTGCTGAATGGCCCCACATTCAGATTGTCCCTTGGGCGGCCCACGTTCTGGATCTCCTCATGGAGGATGTGGGGAAGCTTGGGTGGGCGAAAAGGGTGGTGGATTGGGCTGGGGAAATGAGTTCCTTCGTCCGCAACCACCACTGGAAGTGGGGGTAGTTGTGGACGCCGCAGTTGGTGGACGGGACCGTGATGCAAGCGTTGAAGCCAGCGGGGACACGCTTCGGTGGTTGTGGCTGCGCGTTGGATTGGCGATGTGCGGCCCAGTTTGTCTGAGCGTGGCCCGATGTCCCCTGGGCCAGCCGGGTTGGATTTCCAACCGAACGATTGCTATCGTGTGGTTCACCCTCGTCCCCCTTCTGGGCCACTCTTGGATTTCTCGGTTGTACAGCTGCTCCCCTCTAGTTCCTCCCACTTCTCCCTCTCGACTGCTCTCTCTTCCTCCTCGCCTTCTCCATCACTGCTGCTACTCTCCTCACGTGCCTCCTCCCTATAAGATGGGTCATTCTGCTCATTACTTTCAGTATCAAGTAGTGTTAAAGCCCGTCGCCCTGCAGACTGGAAAGCGTTCTCCGGACCCCCTTCTACCCCGTTTCCTTCTTGCCGTCCCGCTCCTCTTCATCTCCTTCGCGATGGTGATTGCTGGCGAGCCGTGGCCATTGCCATCGCGCGCTCCCGCTGTGTCAGCGGTGAGCGGAAGGTCCCCGCCTGCGTCTGCCTCGGGTGTTGCTACACTGAAGCCACCAGTCCCACCTGCCCCGAAACCAACGCCCTCCGCCGCTGGGGCCTCTCCACCTCCGGACCCATGCCCCGTGACGAGCCCGGCTCCATCGTCGCCTCTGCCCGTTTCGTCTGCCCCTGTTGTTGAGTCGGGCCCTCCGCCTCCCGTCGAGGCTCCTGCACCTGCTGTTCCTACTGTTCCGTCGGCTGTCCCTGCGAGCACTGCCGCACCGCCTGCTGTTGCCGATTCTGCTGCTGCTCCACCTGTCCCGGGGGTCCCTGTCTCAACGCCCGCCGTTGTTGACCTTGTTGCACCTGCCGCGGCTGTTGCTTTGTCACCGATGGCGGTGTCCGCCACCACTGGCGGCCAGGCCCCGGTTGTGGCGCAGATGGCTCCCGATCCTGCTCCGCCTATCGTCGCCTCCCCTGCTCAACGTCCGCCGTCTCCGGGCCGCCGACAGCCTCGGCCTCATTCCCCTGCGCCTCGTGACGAGCGCGCGGCATCGTAGCGGCGCCACGATTCCCTTCAGCGCCGTTGTTCTCAGGCGAACTGGCAACCGACTCGTGGCGGTCGTGGTGGGTGGTGGGGAGGGAGCGGTCGTGGTGGTGGCTGGGCGTATGAACAGCCCGTGACGATGGCGGATCTGCAGCGCGCCGTTTCTGTTGCAGTGTGTGAGGAGCGGAATGGGCAGGCGAGCCAGAGCAACTCGCTGCGTGTCGCTCCGACCCCCATGCCTCCTCCTCCTGTTGCGCTTCCTGCGCCTGCCGCTCCGCCTCCGCCGGCAGCTGCTCCGCCTCCCCCTGCTCCCTCTGCATTTGCTGTCGCTCCGGCAGGTCGTGTGGAGCCCCCGCGGGCTCCTGCTGCTGGTGACGCGCTATCATTCCAGGCGTGGGCAGGACCTCCTCGCATGGTTGAGGTCCCCGAGGCGTCGCTTGGGCAGCTGTGGTGCCTCGCTGAGGGCTTGCGGGCCGTGCACCTAATCCAGGCGTACGGTCATGCAGCTCTCGCTCGTGGTGGCTCGCTGGATGGTCGCCAATGGGACGAGTGTCTTGATGCTGCTGACCGGCTCGTGGAGCTGCTGGCGCCCGTGATGGCTGCGCCCGCGATGGGCGTAATTGCGGGTGTTGGGCAGCTTGGTACAGCTGTCCGTGGCGGCAGTGGAGGTGGTGGCGGCGGTGGAGGTAGTGGTGGAGGTAGTGGTGGAGGTCCTAGTACGCCTAGTGGAGGAGGCTATGGAAGTGGTGCTAGGCTTGCGGGTCCGACAAGAGGAGGTGCTGGGGTGGTTGCTTGGTACACAGCACAACAGCGGCAGCAGTCCCAGCAGCAGAAGCCACAGCAGGGACAACAGGAGCAGCAGGGGCAGCCGCAGCAGCAGGTTCAGTGGTACGTAGGTGCAGCAGCAGTCTCAGCAGTGGGGACCTGGTGGGTCAGGGAGTGTTGGTCGTGGCGTGGTCCACCCAACTGGCCGTCGCGTGGTGTCACTCCTCCCTGTCTGTACGTTGTTCAGACGGGCACTCATCAAGGTCATCCCTGTGGTCATATTCACTCTCCGAATCAGTGCTTGGCGCAGCTCACGGACCGTCATCGTGCTCAGTACGGCTTTGGCCCCGTTCCAGACTGGGCCCCGCTGGCTCTCTCCCTTGGCCCAGCGTGTGTCATATGATTGCAGTCGAGTTACGTGATGCTTTGCAATTTGATTCTGCAATGTATGCTGATGTTGACTACAATGCTGCTGGACCTATTTGCTCGCAAGTTCGTAGTCCAGGATCCTTGCCTGTTGCTAGTGTTGGTGCTAGTGCTTCCAGTCTAGGTGCTTGTGTAGCTACTAGCACAGGTGCACCTAGGGCTAACGGGTCGCTCTCTTTCATGCTAGAATCTTCTTTCGCGACCACTTGACTCTCACATCACTTCCTGCTCCGGTCTCAATTGCACTAGCTCCTCCTACCTGACTAGCAGTTGCACGCAGCTCTACCACGCTTTCGCGCCCGGCTGTCCCCTCTGGTGTCCCCACTGGTCTTCACACCCCCTCATTCTCCAGGAACTTGGTGGGTGTTGGATACCTTCAGGACCGCCATGTCGGCGTGTGGTCTCCGCTGTCTGAGCATGTTGCGACTTGCGTGGGCAATGACACCTACGCACTGTCAAATCATATGCATGTTTATGTGTAACTAGGCTGTATGGGGGTTAGCACTAGGGGGTACAGAATTTCTCTCGACATTCTTCTTGTACCCCTTCTTGACATAATCCCATCACTCTTGCCTAAGATTCTAACATGGTATAGAGCAAGAGGCCCTTAACCTTAGAACCTGTTTCTTTCGGGCCCACCCTAAAATCACCTGCGGTTACCGCGTTACCCCGCGCCCGCCCTGCCCTACTACGAGTCGCGCTGCCCCTGCTGGCCGCTCGCCACTGCCGCAGCACGCATTTTTTTTTTTTTTTTTTTTTTTTTTTCGCGCGCTGCCCTGCCGGCTCTGCCCCACGCGCGCTGCTCGTCGCGTCGCCCCGCAGCCCCGCGCGTGCGCTGCTCATCGCGTCGCCCGTCGCGCTGCCCCGCAGCCCCGCGCGCCACCTGCCCTACTGCCACGGCTGCCTGCTGCGCCCGCGCTCTGCCCCATGCGCCCGCGCCCTGCCACTGCAGCGCGCGCATTGCCCCCCCCCCCCCCCCCCCCCCCCCCCCCCTCCCCCCTGCGGCCCTCGCGCTGCCTTCTGCGCCCTCGCGCTGCCCCCTTGCAGCCCTCGTGCTGCCTCTTGCGGCCCTCGTGCTGTCCCCTGCCCTTCCACGCGCGCCGCCTTTGCAGCCCGCGCCCTTCCCCTGCGGCCCTCGCGCTGCCTCTGCTCTGTCACGTGCGACGCTCCTACAGCCTCGCGCACCTCCCTCCCTGCTACACCGCCTCGCTGCTCAGCTATGGCTACTCTGCGCGTCCTTTTGTTTGATCCTGACGGCCGCCCAGTTAAATTCGATACCTGGCTCCAGGATCTGCAGTTGTATCTGCTCAGTGACGCTAGGGACGGTGTTTCGCTCTATGACCTAGCGACTGGTGCCTCTACAGCCCCGCTAGCCACAGCTGATGCGACCACCCGCTCACAGGGGCTTACTCGTGATGCTGCTGCCCGCCTAGCCATTCGCAACCACCTCCCAGTGACTGAATGCGAACACTTTGACCAGGCGACGACAGCCAAAGCCCTCTATGATGCTGTTATTGCACGCTACTCTTCCCCTGCCACTGCAGCCCTTAACCGCCTCTTCCTACCCTTCCTGTTCCCCGACCTGTCTTCTTTCGCCACAGTAGACGACCTCCTCGCCCACCTCAAATCTATTACCGCTCGCTACCGCGCTGCCCTCCCAGACGCCTTTCTCCCCAAGAACAAGCCCCCCATCTACATCACTCTCCACTTTATCGTCACCCGCCTCCCTGACGCTCTTAGTACCGTCCGGGACACCCTCCTCGCTCTCCCCCCCCACAGACCTCACCATCGACGTGCTAGGGAAGCACCTTCTTGCAGCTGAGGCTAACATAGTCGCTGTAGGTGCTACCCGTGGCACCCCTCGCACGCCCTTCTTTGAGGGGTGCTCCCCCTCCCCCCTTGCCCCCTCTGTTGCCTCTGCCGCTGCTGTCGACTTCCTGGGTACTGAGGAGGTCGGGGCTGCTTCTGCTCCTAGTGGGAAGCGCCGCATTGGCAAGGGCAAGGGCGGCAAGGGTGGTGGGGGTGGCGCCGGTGGGGGAGGTGGCTGGGGTGGTGGAGGTGGTGGAGGTGGTGGAGGTGGAGGTGGTGGTGGTGGTGGAGCGAGTGGGAGCGTCGGCGGCGGGGATGGCGGCGGCAGCGGGGGTGGTGGTGGCGGCGGTCGTGGTGGCGGTGGGAGCAGTGGTAGCGGTTCTGGTAGCGGCGGGAGTGGCGGCAGCGGCGGTGGTGGCTCTGGAGCTGGTCAGCAGCAGCAGCAGCAGCAGCAGCAGCGTCCGCGTGAGGCCCTCTCACCCCAGCAGCTTCGTGAGTGGCTTGTTCAGCGTGCTGCGTCTAGGGGTGGTGGTAGTGGTCGCTGCTCATACGTTATTCGCACTGGTACTCGCGCTGGTCACACGTGCGGGAAGTTCCACACCCCGCACCGCTGTTTCTCTCGCCTAGACGACGCCTGGCGTCAGGAGATGGGCGGCCCCGCTGGGCTGCACTGCTTAACTCTGGTGTTGATATCT